TCTTTGATAATTTACCAAATCCTTTAATGCGGTGACACTACAAAGAGTTTATTTTCATTGTCAACTACATGCAAAAGTTTCTTTTAAAAGAACAAACACGTCACCCTTAAATAAGTTTGTTTACAATTCCTAGGGTTATTTGACATTGCTAACTTCCACAGAGGGCCACCCAAACACTATCTCTTGCTCAGTAGGTAAACCAAGAGATTTGTACTTTATGGTAACCAAGCCAGCTTGTCTGGTGTCCCGTGGCTGTCTCAGTGCTGCAGCCCTGGGTCTACAGAAGGCTCTGGGCTCCTGGGTGCAGTGAAGCCAGCCATGTGAGGCAGGGCACACTCTCAGGACAGAGATTGGAAGAGTTCACTTTTGATGGAAGGAGAAAACTCCATAGAAGAGAGGGGAGATAGAGAGCTTTGCGTTCAGATATGAACTGACACAGGGACCCTTTCAAATAGCCCTGTCCTCCTTGCCCAAGGCCAATATGTAAGCTTTTTATCTCAATTGCTCCTGGTCACCTGTCTTTCCCACGTGACATTGCAACTCTTCAGGGGGTGATTGCTGGATGATGCATACCCACAGAACTTTATTTGCTTTTTCTTTTACTCTGTTTGATATTTTCACTTAAGTATATTTCCATACACAAACCTCTCCCATCAAGTGAACATTCCATGGTGGTAAATTTACCAGGTTGCCCATTGTCTTGATCCAGTTCTGGAAGTTTCATCCCTCCAAGTGAGACCCTTTGTATGCAGTTAATGTCATCTCTGCCCTTAACTCGTTGCTCTATATCCTGTCATTTCAGAGTTGCTTTTCCGGAACATTTCACCCACATGGATCAGGAGTGGAGAACCTCTGTTCTGCCACTAGCTATTTGGGTATTTAGAATGTCATTTGAGGGCTGTAAGAAGTACACAGGCAGGCAGACAGCTGCAGGCAGCCAAGGAGAAGCATACACACACCCAATGTACCTGCCATATACTGATTTCAAGGGCCACATAATTTGCAAGCTGGATGTTTCCCATCCTTGCATGGTCATTTGTATATGGCTTCTTTCATTCTGCATACTTTTGAGGCTCACACACAATAGAGCAAGTTGGTTAAATGTGAGTTCTTATTGACCCTGGCCCTGAAGTCCCTCCAATGTGCTAGGACCTGCTCTCTCAGTAAGTGGGCTTCCTGTTCCACTCCAGGACCTCTTGTTTTTTCCAGTCCCACCTCAGTGGCTTCTGGTCTGAGTCTTTCTCCAGCTTGTCTTCCAGGTTCCACCATGTTTCTTGCTCTTCCTCGGTGGCCTGGTTCTCACCTGGGCTCTGTCCATTGTTTCTAGTCCTTCATCCCACCTTTGTCTTTGATTGCCTCATCATTTTATTCAGGGCTTTGTTCAAACAGCTTATTTTATTTTACTTGGTTGGTCGTGGGGCTTGAACTCTGGGTCTGAGCGCTGTCCCTCAGCTCTTCAGCTCAAGGCGAGCGCTCTACCACTTGAGACACAGCACCACTTCCGGTTTTCTGGTGGTTTATTGGAGATAAGAGTTTCACGGACTTTCCTGCCCAGGCTGGCTTTGAACCACAACCCTCAGATATCAGCCCCCTGAGTAGCTAGGATTACAGGGATGAGCCACCAGCGCCTGGCTAGCTTGATTATCTTTTCCACTGAAATGGCATTCCTTGAATGGTCTGTTCACTTGTTCTGACTTGTTTCTTCAAAGCTCTTAATTCCTGAGGTATTTCCTGTTTATTATCTTATTAATAGACTAGTCTTAGTCTGTTTGAGCCAAGCGGGGTGGCTTATAAACAGAAGTTTGACAGTTCTAGAGTCTGAGGAGTCCAAGACTAAGGTGTAAATGATTTGGTGTCTGGAGAGGGCCAACTTCTTGGCTCATGGATGGCAGCTCTCTTGTGGCTCCTTACATGGTAGCAGGGCTGAGGGCTCTCTCTGACCTCTGTAATTAGGATCCTCAGGAGCTAATGACCTACAGGCTCACCTCCTAATTCTGTTTTGGGATTAGGATTTCCAAATGTAAAGTTTAAGGGGACATGTCTCCCAAGTCCAGCCCCCAGGGTTTCTGTTCTGCTTGCCTACTTTCTGGCAGGTGAACCTTGGATTTGTCACCAAGTAGAGTGTGTGAAGGCAAACATTAACAGACCATGCCTAGAACAGAATGGCACCCAGGAAACACTGAGGAAACACCTGTCTAATCCCTTGACACATCAACTCTGCATCTCCAGCCCCTGGAATGTAGATGGACAAAATGGGGTTAGTGTTTTCTCAGTCAGCACCAGTCCTCATGCTACAGTCTATAGTCTTTGCCTTTTTTGGTGCTTGTCCTGGTGTTTGAACTCAGGCCTGGGCGCTCTCCCTTGAGCTTCTTTTGCTCAAGGCTAGTACTCTACCACTTGAGCCACAGTTCCACTTCTAGCATTTTTAGAAGTTTTTTGGAGATAGGAGTGTCATGAATTTTCCTGTCTGGGGTGGCTTCGAACTGTGATCCTTAGATCACAGTCTCCTGAGTAGCATGAGCCACAGCAGCTTTGCTTTGATGTTTGACTCTTTAAAGACCCCCTTACAGCTTTGCAGCCTGTTGCTTTTAGCCCACCTCTCAGTCTCTGCAATGTGGTCTTCTCCCCTCCCCCCCAGGGAGCTCAAAGGGAGTAGGAACATGTTTTCTTAGCTGAAATGTAACCTTTCAAATTTAGTAGAACCATTTATGCGTAGCATAAGTATTTAAGCTTTGTAGGAGTATTATGAAACATTAATTGTAAAGTTTTACAACATGTGAAAAATGTATATCTATCACAGTTAAGTGTCTTTATATAATTACTTTAAGGTAGCATACATTCTTGGTGTGTTCAGCAAAGCAGTTTAGTGCATTTGGGCCACAGATACAACTTTTCCTCCAAACACTATAGATCAACCTGAGGCAGCACCAAAAGGGCAGAGCATAGGATACAAGACAGCCTGAGAAGTACAGAAACGAGCCCAGTCTTAAGACTCATTTCCCACATTTTAAGCTTTAGCGTGAGGGAGGAGTTGACTTGCTAAGATCTACATATAAAAAAATTAAGTCGGGAAAGGGAACATATAATTGGAGGCCAATTATGTACTTGGTACTTATTCCTTTGCTGTTACTAAATTCGAACTTGGGATTTGAAACTAGGCATGAATCCAGACTCTGTAACTCAGACTCTACATACTACATGGGTACTTCCTGCTATGTAGGAGACCTGCATAGATAAGAATTGTTAGCTTCTGTGCAAGCTGGAAAATACTGACTGGGTGAACTGCACTTAGCTATATGCACCTGAAATGGTCCACTCAGCCTAGCAAAACACCTATCATTGGCCTTGTTGGGCAAGTGTACTTGTTTTCTCTGCCATGCTAGTAGTAGGGTGCTCTGCAGCTGGACACCCAGCTTTTCTCTGGAGGGGTTACCGCAATGCAGATATTCAACGACAGTTGTGCTTTGCACACTAGTTAAATGACAGTAACAGAATCCATTCTTGAGGAGAAAAAAAAATAAAACCGGTAGAATCCTTCCAATTGAAATATAGTAATAGGCTTAATTTTTTGACCATAACTAGCATGGGGGGGGGGGGGGGAAGAGAAGGACTTAGTGACAAAAGTACAAGTTACTAGAATAATGAATCTTACAATGTTTTATAAGATGCCTCAGGCAAAGTATTTAATCACATTTGATAAAGCAAGACCAAAAAAAAAAAATCCTTCTTGTAAATTAAATCAGCATTTCCTAAAGTGACATTCAAAGGGACACTGTTGTGTGAGATGTAAAAACACTATACCTTGAAACAAATGTTATGGGTGTATTTAAAGAATGGTATATTGTCAACTTAAGAGACTCTTGGGGAAGGTGCAGTCTAAAACTGTTTTCTTTGGGGAGGGGCTACCTTTCAGAGAAATCACAGCACCTTTGATTTTATAAATGACTACATGTAATATCATCAAAGCTACCACTCACTGGCAGAAAATGGGGTACAATGGAGTCCTCACAACTTAGGTTTTTACAGATTGCCATTTATTAAACAAGTCTGGTGCTGGTGGATCATGCCTATAATCCTATCAGAAGTCTGAGATCTGAGCACAGGCTCCGGTGAAACTATCTTCAATTAACCACCAAAGGACTGGAAGTAGAGATGTGGCTCAAATGTGGTTCAACCTGGACTTACTTTCCAGGTTGACTTCTTTTGGCTACAGCAGACCCTGTCTTGCTTAGTATCAAGTACCAGGTCCACCAACTGTTGCTCAGGGTACATAATGTGTATATTTCGTGTGTTCAGTTGAGCAAAGAATGTGTATTCTTGTAAGAACCCAAAGATCAATGGCAGTAAGGGCACAGGATGTGGAAGGGAAGTCATGCTACCTGGTGGCCGGGGTAGTGAGGGTGGCAGCCACCCCACTGCTATTTCTTCGTTGCCAGTGATGGACTGGGACTCCCTGGAGCTGGCAGAAGGCCTTGAGGAAAAGGGGGAGACTTTTTTTCTTTTTTAAAGTATGACCATTTCTCTAGGAAGTAGTCTATGGGAGAGAAAAGGTTTGGGAAATGCTGACATTTCTGTTGTGTACGATAAGCCAGGATAAATGCCTGTTTGTATTTATTTGGTTATAGAGGGGTCCTGGAAATCAGGGCACCTCAGATATCCAGAGACGGTGAGCTCGGCAAACAGTATGGAATTTCTGGCCCACAGTTTTAAAAGGAGGCATCCAAATCAAAGAGCCCTGGATCAGAGCTTTACCTGAGTGGATAATGGATCCGACAAATGAGTCACCTCTAATAAACAAGGGACCTGGAATGGAGGAAGTCAACTCCTTTCCAGTGCTAATAATGTCCTTGTTTAGAAATTAACTGAAAATACTTTATTCCCATAGTCAAGTACATTTGGATGGTTGCTCCTTTTAAAAGCAAAGGAACTAAAAAAAAAAATAATGCCTTCCATTTTTTCAGTCTTAAATAGCATTTATTAGTATTGCAATGAAGTCTTTCTCATGAGAAGAATTCTCAATTTATTAAGGATAGGTAATGGTTATAGACGCAAATTTCACTGCATTGCTATATATGATGAGTATGCCCAACTAAGACCCTGAATTCAGTAATCTAGTATTCACCACATGTTCATTGTCATTTACCTTTTTATCCAAACATGCTTTTTGTCCCCCCATTTTAAAAATATGTGCCTGGATAGGGTGGAAAAAGAAATGCCAAGGGCTTGCTAAAAAGGAAAAAGCTAGAAAAGATAAAATTCCCCTGGCAGTTCTGTTCAGCTGTAGTCCGCAGTGGAGGAACAGTACCAGGCTGGGAAGCATTCTTTCCATGGATTCTTGGTCAGAATGGTGAAAGCCCTTGAGGTTTTCTGTGGCTGTCAAGAGGGGGCGGAAAATTCCATTTACTGAATCCAGTCGATGTTTAGGCACCGTGCTATGAACGCAAACATATCGGAGACTTCCTCTATCACTTTGGCAGTGGGCTTCCCAGCCCCGTGGCCGGCCTTGGTGTCCACGTGGATGAGCAGAGGGTTGCTTTGCTTCCGGCTGCGTCCTACGATGTACTGGAGGGTGGCGATGAACTTCAGGGAGTGGAGCGGAACTACACGGTCATCGTGGTCAGCGGTGAGGAGCAGCATGGATGGGTACTGGACGTCATCTGCCTCGGGCAACTTCACATTGTGCAATGGGGAATACCTGCAGGACAAAGGCACTTCTGTGATTACCCAGGTGTGGGTTTTTTGGGGGAGCCTGGTATGTGGCTTGAACTCAGGGCTTGGGAGCTGTCCTTTGAAATTCTTTGCTCAAGGCTGGTGCTCTACCACTAAGCCACAGCTCAGTGGTTAAATGGAGAAAAGAGTCTCAGGGCCTTTCCTGCTTGGGCTGACTTCAAACCACAATTCTTAGGTCTCAGCCTCCTGAGTAGCTAGGATTACAGGCGTGAGCCACACTGCCCAGATGGCTATCTACTTTCATGGATATCAAAAGCACAGGATAGTTGTTTTGGAGGATAATCAAAGGCAGACTATCCACTTTTGTGGATATCAAAAGCAGGGGATGGCTGTTTTGGAGGGCAATCAAGAAAGACTAGCGTGGCAAGGGACCTGTGTGGTTTACCAGCCCAGGAGGATTGCAGCTAACTAGAATGTGAATGACCGCCTCAGCTAGCTAATGTGTGGGGGTGAACTCCAAGCTTACGAGCAGCCATCTCATGAAAGCAAGATTAGAACACTGAACCCTGAGGTGGAAATAGAACTCAGAAAAAGCATGTAGGAATTTTTTTTTTGCTTTCAAATTAATTCTGGAAATGCTAGGTTTCGTTGCCTTTGATGTACAATACAATTTTCAAATAAGCTTTCAAAAGACTTCTTCCTCTAGGTGGTTATATTCTTGACACTGATTTGAAGTATAATTTCTTTGGACATATGGTTTTTACCAGTATGTTTTTACTAGGGTGTATCATGTGAGCATTCAAGATAGCTTTTACAGTGAACATTTTTTTCCCCTTATAAAACAAAATTTAGCAGTTTCAAAGTACTCAAAGTAATCCAGGTTGGGTGTAAGGAGTGAGAAATAAAGAGATTAGAGTTTGAGGCCAGCCCAGGCAAAAAGTTTGGAAGAGTCTATCTCAACCAATAAAGGCTGGGTGTTGTGGCACATAAGGTGTTGGTAGGAGGACTGAGGTCCAGGCAAAAACACAAAACCTTATTCAATAAAGCAAAAAGGGGAGGGGCATGGCTCAAGAGGTAGAGTATTCAGTATTCAGTAAGCATGAAGCCTTGATTTCAAATCCCAGGACTCCTCTCCCACATGAACCATTTTAATGCAATTTCTAAGAGGTCCATTAGCTGCAAAAATGGTTCTTTTAACAAAATTAATGTGCTTCTGAGATGATAGGATGAGAAGCAGACTTTTTGTGCCAGTCTGAGAACTATTCCTAAATATTGCTGGTAATTTAAAACCACTCCAATGTGGGAAGAGCCAAGAGACTTGATTCACTCATTGTCCTATTACCAAGGTAGCTAAAGGACATGAAGGAAGGAAGCTCAAAGTGAGGCAAGTTGCAGTTTCAAATACATGTGGTTATACTAAGAGTATAACATTAAGTGTAATTGTTTTTTGCATATGTTCCCTCTTTTGAAGTTCTTTATTTCTTGATTCAGAAAAGGAAGTCCTATATATCGATATAAGGTCTAATGACACCTTTTCCCTCTAAATTTCTCTTCATTGCAGTAACAAATGAGCATGAATTTAGCAGCTAAAAACAATAAACCTATCTCACACTCTGTAAATCAGGTGAGTTGGCTCAGCTTGGGTCTCTGTTCTGGCTCGCAAGGCCAAAATCAAGGTTTAGGCTGTATGGGCTCTTGCTGGGACATTCTGGGGGAAAAATCTTTCAGATTCACATTGTTGGCAGCATTCAGTTACAGGTGGCTGTAGGACTGAGATCTATCTTCATCATTCTGATGGCTGTTGGCTAGGGTGGTCTTAGGTTCTAGAGATCCCTCCTTCCATCAACAAAGTTCCTGCACAGCACTACCTACATTAGTATTTGACTAAGTGACCAAGCCAGGAATCTTGGAGACCTCTTTGTGTAAGTCTGCTGGTCACATCTTTGTGGTTTGTTGTTTTTGATTGAGACCATATTAAAACAAGGAAAAGAGCAGACTGTGTACCTAATATGTGCAAGTCCCTGAGTTCCATCTCCAGCACTGCAAACAAAACCCCAAACAAGGAAAACCAGAAGGAATTCCCATCTCTTCTCCCACTTTTGCATTATATGTGAATAAGACACTGATAGGGATAAAACATCATGCACCAACCCTACTGACTATATAAAATCACAATATATATAGCAAATATACATTACATACTTGACAAGCCATTCAAAGTGTTGTTTGCTGTCTGAGCACCCATAATCCGTGGTCCAGGCATGACCAATGGTGAATTTATGGAACTTCAGCATGTCCATGACTCCAACTTGGGCAATCACACAACCAAAGAGGTCAGGACGCTGATTTGCACAAGTAGCTAAAAACCAAGATAGACAGAAAAAGGAAGCAGTCTGTCATTAAACATCTAAATAAACAAAACCAAAGCAACACTTACGTGCTTTTCAAACCCTGGTTACCTTTATCCTTAGAGCACAAGAGAAAACCATCAGAAACTACCACTTTCTAAGCTTCCCATATGGGGAAGGTGGGCTTCTTATCGAGAATATAGCTTTGCTCCTCAAATTGAACCTCCTAGGGGACTGTTACTCAGAAAGCTCCAGGATCTTTGGAAAGGGGAAGGTAAAGGAACTTGTTCAGGATCTCAGAACTAGTCCAAGACAGTACAGGGTCTTAAATGCAGCTCAAGGCTTTAACCAATTTGCCACATATTCTTGGCTGGTTATTAAAATTTTTTTTGGTACCCTTAATCTAAATTTAGCCTATGAGATAAAGAAGTGAGCAGTTGCTGCAAAACTTGGGCTTGGCCAATGTGGAGTTAATTGTATGGAAGGGCAAAGTGGTGAGGTACCAGGGCAAAGTCATCAGGGAGGTATGAAAGGAGTAATGTCAAAGCCATATGACTAGAAGTTAGGCAAAGGATCTAGACTTTCCTGTATCTGCAAAAAAGCCAGGTCCTTCCCTGGTTCTTATCAGCACTTATTAATAACAGTCCTACCCCTGGAGACCTTGACTCTTTCCTGGGGGTGGTAAAGTTAGAAATCTGTATTTCTAACATAAAAGCAAGAACTTGATGGGGGAACTCCATCTCTGCAGATTGCTGAAGAGACTTGTCAACAAGCACAAAACAATTCCTAGATATAAACCTTCAAGAACATAATGGAGTTATTGAGTGAACCAGTAAATTATGAACTCAATTCTCCCATGATTGATTTTTGGTATTCAGTGTCCCATTAAATCTAGTATCTTATCTATATTCCTTATGGGAGTTCAGCCGACTTAAATTCAGAATACATCCAGATCTTACCACATCTTGCTACTATACAACCTGCCTGGCCCAAGCCATTGGTCTGCTAGCAAGACAAAACTCTCCTAATTCTCTAAAGGCTTCATATTTCACACAGTAGGGTGAGCGCTCTGGATGGCATGAGGTCTGACTTGGGTTGGCCTCTTGTTGCAGGCTTCACTGAGCCCCACCAGGACATGGGACTGCTGCCTCTGGTTACAGTGAACGCTCTACAAAGCCTTGGTTCACTCCCATCCCAGTATCTTGGACAAAATTTGGCATTTAAGAATTGAATCAATATTCTTTCATTTTATATTTTTAAAATTTTCAGGGCTGGAGACCCAGGGCCTTCTTCAACTCAGACAAGCACTCTACCATTCAGCTATATCACCAGTCTGGAAGAATTCATTTTTAAAGGCTATATTCCTTTGGGAGAAAAATGTATGAAAAGGAATTCAGGTTTTAATTTGATTTAATTGTGTCCTATTCAAAGAATAGGACACAAGAATGAACTCATCCCCTAATTTTCCCCCTAGTAGTAGATTGGAACACTGTCCTATGTTTTGAGTGGGTATTTGTTATTCTGCTCTGGCTACTATGAGTCAATTCAGATAATGTATCTGTCTGTTTGCATGCCATTATCAGATGCCCATATACAAATGGGTCTTGCTTTTAGTTAACACTTCTTTCTTCTGTGAAGCTCACAGTCAATCAGAGCTGCCCAGAGTATCTGAAAAGCCCTCGAGACTCAGGTAGAAAGTCCAACGAGTACAACTCAGTTCTTACCCACTAAGAGGCCTCCATTTGAACCTCCATTAATCGTCAGCCTCTTGGGAGAGGTGTAGCCTTCCTTGATCAGATATTCAGCAGCACACTGAAAATCATCAAAGCAGTTCTGTTTGTTGGCCAAGATTCCACCTACAATGTGCCAAAGTGAAAGACACGTTAATTAATAACACAGAATAAGGTCAGCCTGAATAGAATTCAAATGACTGTAGCGCACAGCTTCAACTACTGACCATCATAACCAATGCCTGCAAAAACCATATTTACAGAAATGCCTTAATTGAAGTTTTTTTTGGGGTGTGTGTGGGGGGCGGGGGGGTTGGTCATGGGGCTTGAACTCTAGGCCTGGATGCTGTGCCTGAGCTCTTCAGCTCAAGGCTAGCACTCTGCCACTCCTGCCTTTTCTGTTTATGTGGTGCTGAGGAATCGAACGCAGGGCCTCATGCATGTGAGGCAAGCACTCTACTGCTGAGCTACCTCCCAGTCCTGTCAAATGAAATTTTATATACTGCTGAAATTTCTCACCAAGACCACAACTGTGATCCCATCTGGAAAATTTGTATTTTATTAAAAATGTCTAGAACTTTAAAATGCCTCAAGAGAACGGATTATCTGTTTTGGAGGAATATACAATCTCAAAAAGCGTCTATATTTTGGGGATGCCATATGTCAAAACAAAATGAGGCTTCTCGTGGCATTCACCCCTGGGGTTTGCACCCAGCCCAGAGCTGGTGCTGGGGTCACACATGCTTCCCTACTCATGACAGCGGGAGCATGGAGCAACTTCTCACTCCTTCTCTCTGTGGGAGTTCAAAGTGGGTAAGTGATGATACAGGCTTTCAGGATTCTTGAATGACTCCCAAAGACCTCACACATCTCCCCAGGAAATCTGTACTCTACCACCTGTTAGTCATTCCCATGTGTTAAGCCAAAGAAATCGCTTAAAGAGAGGAACATTCACAGGGTCTTGAAATACATGAAAGTGAAGGCCAAAAGCCAAAGAAACAGATCTCTGAAATAACAGCCGCTGATCAAAAAGCAGACCTAAATGTAATTAGATACTGGAGATTAACCACTTCTGCAGAAAGTCAATTAAACATGGAGCAATGCAACTGAAGGAGTCTTTTTCTCATCAAAACAAATGTTATTAAGATTTTAATAAGAAATTATTGGTGAATTAGAACAGCTGAGATTAGTTTCTAGGAATATCATCATTGGAGGTGGATGACTTTTTAAAAGAGCATTACATTTTAAACTCAATAAACAGAATGAGATTTAGATTTACCAGTGTTCTGGATGCTAGGCTATCTATAACTGAAAAAGGTCCCTTTCTGGTCCTTTCACTGCCTGACTTTGAGAAAGCTTTTGAATCAGTCAAAACACATTTTATCTCAGTCTAACTTCAAGCTGCCACTTGTAAGCTTTGGACAGGAAGTTGGATCTAACAAATAGAGGGGAAAGGGAGAACCAATTAGGCCCAAGGGCATCTTCTCTACGGAAACATGGTGGTGCTGATGACCGGTGGTGCTGATGACCAGAGGTGCTGGTGGGGGGAATACAGTTCTTTCAGGAGAAGGCTGTGGGATCTGAGGGATCTACAGGAACCACAGGATTGGGAAAGGAGAAGCATGTGTTGAGGTGGGGGTGAATAACCAACTATATACTATTTTAGATAGGAAATCAGGTGAGTCAAGGAGTAGAGTCTTTGTAAATGAATCTGAGGTGCACAAAGGGGTTTAAATTCCAGAGTTCAGATGATCAGTGCAATGCGTTTTGGTCAATGTCACCCCTTCCCTTGTTCTCCCCCATCTTTCCCTATCCCATCCCTACTCTGAAGTTACATCATTTTTACATAATGTGCACTAACTATGACTGCACTTGCTCACCCCTTCTCCCTCCATTCATGTACTTTCCCTTCATTGTTCCTCTTCCTAAACATGTTTTAGCTCCTGGTATTTTGTTAAAGCATCCCTAGTTGTTCAAAGGAGTTATACTGTTGGACTCCTCCAAGTATACCATCCTTTAATTAATGGATATATGCAGATAACCCTATAGATGTTATCATATAAGTTTGTATTTTAGATCTAACTTCCACATCTGAGAGAGAATGTGTAGTTTGTTTCTCTGAACCCGATTTCACTTAACATTTTTTTCATCCATTTCCCTACAAATTACAGATTATACTAATAGATGAATAAAATTGTATTGTATGTATGTATGTACCACATTTTCTTGATCCACTCATCTGCTGTAGAGCATCTAGCTGTTTCCATACCTTGGCTGTTGTGAATAGTGCAACAATGAATATGGATGTTCAAGTATCTTTACTATTATCCTGAAACTGGGTAGATGCCTAAGATTGGTATTGCCAGGTCATATGGTAGTTCCGTTTAGTGTTTTGAGAAATCTCCAAACTGCCTTCCAAGTGGCTGCACTAGTTTACATTTCCACCAACAACATAATAGGGTTTCCCCCAATAGCATCTGTTGTTTGTAGTCTTGTTGATGGTCAATCCTCCTGGGGTAAGATGTAATCTCAATATTGTTTTGATTTGCATTTCCTTTATGGCCAGGGATGTTGAGTATTTCCTGATCTTTTTGGCCATTCTTGTTTCTTCTGCTAAGTCTCTACTTAGCTTCTTTGCCCATTATTGAGTTATTGATTTCAGAGTGGGTGTTTACTTTCTTAGAGCTCCTTGTATATTCTGGATATAAGGTCCTTGACAGATGTAGAGCTGGTAAAAATTTCCTATTTTGCAGGATGCTTTTTTAGCTTACTTTGTCCCAAGCTGTCCAGAAACCTTTTAGTTTGATATAATCCCATTTGTCAATTCTCTCTCCAATTTGCTGAGCCCCAGGCACTCTACTCAGAAAGTTTCTGCTTATGACATTATGTTCTTATTTGTTCCTCCTACTTCTTTACTTCTTCCTGTAGTAGTTTCAATGGTACAGGCCTGATGTTGATCCATTTTCAGTTGATAGTAGTACAAGGTGACAGACAGTGGGCCCAATTTTAGTCTTCTACATATGAGTGTCCAGTAGAAATTTTGTATTCACTTCTCAGGCATATAATAATGTGGTTTGAATGTAATTAAAGTCTACTATCAGGTCACAAATTTTCAGGGAAATCTATGTAGTGTCAAATACATGATAATTAGGGATGACAGCAGACAATGAACTATCCAAGTGATGGATGGTAGCTAGGAGCCCAGGGGTGTTTAGGAGCATTCAGTCTTGCAAGGATGCTTGGGCAATCTGTTGTCTAACGTTAGCCCTTGGGATTGTGCTGGATTGCCTGGGCCTTTCCTGCAACTTAGTACTAATACTTAATGAAGATCTCTTCATGCCCTGACGGGCTCATCCCTGTGTTCACTAATTAGTGGGGGGGGGGGGGGGGGGAATCAGAGGCTTAGGCCTTGCAAGGTGGAGAAAGTAGCTGTACAAATCTGAAGGGTAGTCTCTGAAGCGGACTCCACTGGTCTGGTGCTGCTGACCAACCCAAAGCAGTGGGGGTTACCATGGTCCCTGCAGACCTGCTACAAATGATAGCAGGAGAGGCATGAAGCTGGTGGCGTCCAAGTGCTGTTCTCCACCTGCCTCTCCAAGGACATTGAACCAAGGCAGGGGAGGCACACAACAGGTAGTCTAAAAATTCAGTTCCAGCTCCACATAGCCACAAATGGAAGAGGCAGAGCTTTCAAGTAAAAGATGATTCTTCTAAGAAACCCTGCCCCTCTGGGGTATGAAGCTGAGAACTGAACACAGAGAACTGAGACCAAACCACAAAAGAAAAACAATCTGCAATCTGGTGTCTAAATTCACACGCTATAAACAGGGTTTTAGAACCATGCCTGGTGGAACACGCTCAGTAATGTTGGGAACAGGAAAGCTATGAGGTTTCTTTTTTAAAACAGGACCTGCTCTGACTAATGCTAACCTACAAACAAGGCCACTAGGAGGCAGAAAAAAAAATATACGTTTTTCCCAAGATGCCCTTCAGACACAGATAATTAAAAATGCACGGTGTGCATTGCTAAGAACCTCACATTTTAATTCTAGTCTTATGCAGAATGCTTCTACAAGTGCCCGCTTCGTTATCAAAGACTAGAGAGAAAAAGAAAGACCTGATTTCAAAGGAGACTTTTGCCTGCAATGAGTTAACATCCTCCTTTTACTTCTGTGCCCTCAGCCCCTCCCTCTGCTCCTTCCAGGAGAAAAGGATCAACTTTCACTAGGCAGGCTGCAGAGGAAATGACTCACCTTTATGCCACGTCTCTCCATATTCACCGCCGCCTCGGATGTTAGCCACTGCCAGGACGCCACCCATGTGTCTCACAAAAATGAGCCTGGACACACTGAGAAATAGGGAAGACAGTTTCATCTTGCAGTGTCTGCCTACTCAGAACCATGCGCAGATAGTCCTTGAGGACAATCCACGCACTGTGGTATCTAAACAAGGGCCCAACATGTTTTGCATTACTTGGCTAAAGTAATGTGACTTCTGATTAACGTTCACTGGCAAAAGGCACACATCTTCATAAGTGCTTTCCTATGCTGGTTAAGTATTTTATGACATAATTCGTACCACAGACATAGAAACAACCAGAGGCCCTTACTCCACACTCACCTGATCTCATTTGGCAAGCAAAACACAGCCAGGCCAAGTGGAAAGTATGCTGGGCTCATAGAGGCAGCTGCTTGTGGCCCCTGTCACTGGTAACACTCTCCCAACTGTTCATGTTGGGGAAGGCAAGTCCTTTAACATATTTTTCTTTTTGCCAGGCCTTGGGCTTAAACTCAGGACCTGGGTGCTGTCCCGGGACTTTTCTGCTCTTCCACTTGAGCTGCAGCTCCACTTCCCCACTAACATGTTTCCCTCTCTCTCTCTTTTTTTCTCAGTGGTACTAGTGTTTGAGCTCCAGGTCTCTAGCTTGTTAGGCAGGCACATTATCATTTGTACCACCTCCTCAGCACCTCCCCCCCACCTTGGTATTTTTTGGGGTAGAGCCTCCTATTTGTGCCTAAGGCTGGCCTCAGAACTAGGCACAGACCTCTATAGCTTTCTATATAGTGGAGGTTATGGCCAGAAATCACCTGGTCCATCCTGTTGGTGGAGATGAGCATCTCACTTTTTGTTCAGGCTGGCCTAGATCCCCAATCCTCTCACCTCCCAAGGAGCTGGAATTACAGGTGTGATTACATGTGATCACATTTGGCCCTCAAGTTTTTCACTTCTAGACAACCCCAGTGTATGAAAGGTAGAATAAATCAATCACACAGATGAGAAGATAAGAACAGAGTTTTCAGGGCTGGAGCCTGTGTTGTAGGAGTAAACAGAAGGAACTATAAAGGAAGCTTATAAGAAAAAGTATTAAGTCCTCTGGAAAATTTCGATTTGGATTCCCCTCCCCCCTTTTTCCTATAGTTAAAATGAACTTTGCTTTGAGAACTATATCTGAGCATTTTACCATTATACCTTTTAGTAATGAATGGGAAGATGTGAAGAAAGCTGAAGCTCTAGCTTCTTTGAGCACTAATTTCTAGATTATCAAGGATGAAAGGAGTAATTACAAGAGTTGGGGTAGATATAATCAGACCAACCACCCTCAACTGGCCAAACTGATTTTCAATCACTTGGTCATCCTCCTGCATCTCTGCTGGTTTCTCCTGACTCTATTGCATCCATTGGCTTTGGGAGGAAATGTTCTGGGTACTCAGCTCTGGATTCCCAACACAGAGGCTTAAAAAGGACTTACGGCACAAACGCACAAACACCAGTGCTTTGGGCTACAGGAGATCCGCTGTGTGAGGCTCTTGCTATTCACTGGTTGCTCAGTTCACTGCCCCCTCCACCGAGCACTGCTCTGACTTGGAATTGAAGCTTGCCATGTTACCATTCTGAGTGATAAACAATGACGTATTTTATTCTTTATTGGAAACATTGGGCTAATCTAATGAACCGGTATCTACTGGCTTGCATTTTCAGACTAATCATCTTAGGAGAAATGTGGCATGTGATTTAACCACACAGATATGGATGTACTCATAAACTAACAAATCTCATTGCCTTAGAAGTCCATTTGTGGGCTGCGATCTTACAACCAGGGTTAGTGACATATCTGGGGTGGTGCCTAGGATGTGGCGCTGGAACAGCAGAGTGGATGAGTGGCCACCACTAGGGCATTCTTCTTCTCTCTCCCTTCAGTTTACTCCTAAGATGATACCATGCAAATCTACTTCATGAACTACTGTTCTGTATCTTGATCTGATACATAAGCCTCCATCAGCTCTTCCCTAATAAAAGAATAAATTCAGATTCCTTAGCCGGATGTTCACTGGAGTGACATTTGTTAAAAACCACTTGGCATAAACCGACTTTATACTTGATTAAACCTAAAATAATGAGTTGCGACTGTTATTAAATGTTCACAAACAAAGTAATAGCTTTCTTGTAGTTAACTCTGGGACAGCTGGTTGGGTCTGTTCTGACTCTATATCCTGGTAGTCATCAGTCCACCCATCTTCTCCTGAATAGAAAAGATGCTGGGTGAATCTGTGAATCGATTTTGATTATGAGGTACGATTTAGAAGTTAGCTTAAATAAAGCTGGGTTGCCGACAGGAAATTCCTTGCTTTGTTTAAAGATGCTCAAAGTAAATTCCATTACATAGTAGGAATGGGATATTAAATATCATGTTTGCAAATACGAGAAACTATTTTCCTCCCTGAATGTAAGTTATCTGGGAAATAATCACAGAAACAATAAGTATTTTACAGTTTAAAACAGATGAAGTCATATTCAGAAAATGTACTTACGGCTGAATGTTAAGATAATCTATAAGCCTGTGTGCTGGTGGAAAATTATTAGCTAAAAATCATTTGCTCTGAATAGAATGTTGAGGAGAGTTTGGGCGGGGGTGGGGGTGGGGGGGGGAGCGTTGGTTTAGTGACAGTGATGATAAGGAAGGAAGCTCCTAAGACCTCAGCTGATGCTAATATTTCATAGCCAGGAAGCTATGACTTCAACATCTAGCTCTAAAAAGACTATTAAGAATCCTCTAAATGCTAAGCCTATTCAGGTACTTTCCAGTAACCCTGTCCCTTTATGAAAGCACTAAGCAAGACATACAGCTATGTCTATTAGAAAACCATGCTTTCATGTTTTTCTGGTCTTCAGTTACTTTCCACAATATGTATATAATATCGAAGACATGGTACGTTCCCAGCGTGTTCCACACTTACCTGTAGTTAGGTGTGATAGATATGTTGAAGCCGCCATAGCCATATAAGAAAGCAGGATGAGAGCCATCCAATTTTATGCCTTTTTTATGCACAATAAACATTGGAATTTTGGTACCATCCTTGCTAGGATAGAAAATCTAGAACAAAAAAAAGCAAAATCCTTAGATATAACATTACTTCATAAATCCATGCGTGCTTCTATGTGAGAAAAAAAAGCCAGTATTAAGTCTTCAATATGTACTGTAGCACAAAGAAAACCTCCTATCATTAAATGGCTATCTGATGGTGAGACATCTTTCTGCCTTATGGGATGGTGTGGGACAGGGAATAGCATGGGTTTGCAGCATGGATCTTAGTGCACACTATCTCGCTAGATTCCCTGAAGCAAGCTGTCTAGCCAAACCCAGCCTCCAAGTTCATTTCCAGAATGTAGTTACCACGTTTAGCCTCTCCTGGCCTATAGGGGTCACATGAAAGAGAATAGGCATCTAATTTCTGTTCCTCCTCATCCCTCTGAGCACAGGAAAATCCAATACTACTGTGCTGTTCAGCAACTCCAGCTAAGGAGACACTGTGCTGTTCAGCAACTCCAGCTAAGGAGACATCCTGTCTTAAAAACAAATCTCACACTCAACTTCCTCTGTAAAGATTAAGGCCCTCAATACATCTTCATTTTTCTAAGTTTAACTATTAAACAAATGTTGGAAACAACAAAATAGATTAGCTTAGAGTTGATGTCAAGAACAACACGGAAATCCTATTATTCCTGGTTAAACAAAGACATTTTCTGCAGTACGAGTAATGAAAACTCATCAAACCTGTCTGAATCTGAGCCATCTCAGGCAAGTTCAGCCACTATTTCCATATTCATCACTTTTGGGATAACGGGATTAAGAGGAAAAGGATAAGGGAACATTCAAAGCCATTTATGATAAGCTATAGAATGAATGATAAGCCACACAAAGCTGATAATGGCTTCTACCAGAAAGCAAAGCAGTAAACAGCTTTCTTTTTAGGGGTCTTTATCATAATGGACATGGGCTAACTCCCCACTTGGTTCTGAAACACCTCTCTGACCTCCCATGTACAAAGGGCAAATGTCTTTAGGCATTTCCAACCAGGCGCAGGACTACAGCTGAGGCTTTTTCCTGCAGCTCTTCTATTGCAGAAGTTGCTTTGGAGTCCTTGCAAATGAACAAGGGAGAGGGGAGAACAGCAGGTGACTTCGGAGGCGGAGGACACAGGATAGTGACAAATGCCTGCATGTTTCGTACTTTATTTGAAACTTGCCAACAAATAGAAATAAGTGCTTTTTATATTACAGATTTTGAGGAGACATACTTAGAATAGAGAATATGCTGAAGAGTTTAAAAGCGTTTAAAACTACCAGAATCAAGTTTTATTTAAAGTTAGCTGGCAGACACTAACGGGGGTGGGGGTGGGGGGAGAAGAGGGGGGATCACGGGGTGGTGTGAGACAAGGACAGTGACTGGGGCTTATGGGCTATAATACGGGGCTCTCAGTTCTTGTGCTGGCAAAGTTTTGGGGGCACTTTAAACACAGGCAACAAGACCAAAGGAGCAAACAAGAAACCATCTCACTTGATGCCACCGCCATAAGAGTTATCTGTGCAAGACGGAGTCCCTCCAACTGCCCACACTGGCCCAATTCCCTGCTCAGCTCCAAGGCTTTGCTCTCATCCAGCCGGCTGCAGCCAGGAGCCTCCCCGTCCCCACTGATGGGTTCTCAGACCCTCTATCTGCCTCAATGCGCTTTTTCACTCACAGCTTCTTTCATCGCACTTCAACTTCCTCCTGGCAAACTACTGTCTGAAGTCACCTGAGCTCTGAAATTCAGTGTCTTCCTATGTATTCTTAAGTATCCTTTGCTTCACCACCCAAATGAATCCCAGACTAGCTGTTTCCTACATCCACTCCCAGCACCATTTCTCTTCCCTTCCCCTTATCAAGATGTTTCCCAACCTCTCCCACCCCAGGGAAAGAAGGATCACACAGTTGCGATTCTCTTCCTTACCTACTTTTTTTTTTTTTGTATTTTGTTTCTTGGAATCTACAGAGACTCAAATGTCTCCAATATATGCACAACCTTTTGTTTTACTTATCTGTCCCTTGAGCTTAATTTCCACCACCCACTGTCTTCCTATCCTTTTGTCCCTCTGTTCTGACCATCACTGCCTTTTCAAAAGTTGATGAGTGCTAATATTGTGCTATTACTCCCAGTCCCCCTTCATTTAGCACACTGTCCAGGTTTAAAGACCCAGCTTAAAGTGGCTACCTAAAATATCATTACTGGTACACAGAAATGATCATGTCACTCATGTAATTTATAATATGAAAACCATTTATGCTTCACGAGCAGATAACATCCATGTGTTTTCTATTTGTTGATCAAACTTATTTCTATGATGACACTCAGGTTCAAGTTAAAAGGCAAAAAGACTTTTCATACCTGTAACCCATGAGAGAGCTGCCAATATTTATAATTTTTAAATGTCCATAATGTATTTGTGGAGTCTAATGTGACATTTCGATATATATACAATGTACAACAACAGTGTGATGGGGTAAGTGGTATCTCCTTCACCCCAAACATTTCTCAGTCCTCTGTTCCTATTGTTTTTTGAGCATCCACTATGAGCACAGCCCTGTAATGGAATGCTAAAGCTTTTATGGGAACCCTAATGGACAGGAAAACAAAGTGCTCATGTGGGTCTAACAGGTGCCCACCTGAGTAACAGGAACAATCTGTATGTCATCCTGGACTAATGGCTTATGAGATTGACAAGTCCTGTTTCTGTCTGTCACAGTCAGAACGAACAGTAGTAGGTAATGTGATAGATCCAATTCAATGCAGAAGCCGTGACTGTGCTGCCTCTTACCTTAAAGGCTACAAGCACCTCCAAAGAATCCATACTGGAGAGGAAGCCTTTACCAAGAAGACCCCAAATAAAACACACACATGGGGCCAATGATTCAAAAGCACAGTTAGTTCACGTTAAGAGAGCCAGCCAAAGATTGACCCAAATTAAAAGTATAATTTTTAAGGGTTGCTTTAAATTTCCTTTTTCTCTCCAAATTTCAATACAGTTGGCATCCTGAGTAGCTGGAGAAGGTGGTTCTAGCCCCTAGGAAGGAAGGAAGTGAGGACCAAGAAGCTGGCCCAGAATTTTGGCACAGGACAGGACAAACAGCAAAGACTTTGCCTGTTTTGTCAAATGGCTTTGCTATGTCCAGCTACACTGAAAAGGGCTAATGGATAAACGTTTTGTGAGGAGCCAGTTCACTTCAATCTAGTTTACCCAGATTCTGAGCAACAGTTAAGCTACTCGGCATTTTACACTGGTTCACCAGAAACAAGCAGAGACCACGAGACCAGGCTGAAAAGAGCTGCTGGCAGAAGGGATGTCACCCTTAAGAGACCACCTGACCTTTCAGTGGGATAAATCTGTTTCTACCTTGCTAGAGGACAAAAAGGCTTGGCTTGTGGTGATTGCAAGGCTGTGGACCCCGCAGGGTGGAGATGGGTCAGGAGATGGAGGTTCCTGACTATACTGTCAAGAAGTATAGATGGGGCCATCTTATCAACAAGAAAAATTACATAGCTGTCACCTTCACACAGGTTAATGCAGAAGACCAAGGGGCTCTGGCTAAGCAGGTGGGAGCCTCCAGGCTTACATATCAAGAGAGATAGAAGATCTGAATTGTTCAGCTAACATCTTGTCAATCTGGAAAAAGGTCTAGAAGTATACTTCTAAACTGGGTTATATAAACACTGTTGAGCTTTCTATATGTGAAAATTCTCAAAAACCACAATAAACAAAAGAAAATTTAAAACCTTAAGTTGTTCTTCATTTTCAAGAACACATTTTCAAGAAATGTTATTCCACATTTAAACCCGAGACCATTGAACATCAGAGCGTAAGAATATCAGCCTTGGTGATTATCGCGCTGTCTCTTGGTAGAGGTCAGAGAAGGGTATTTGCTGCTCGAGGTATTTGCAGTCACGAGACTGAGCCACCTGGTAAGCAAAGCTGCTGGCAAGTTGTTTCTCAGATCCAAGGAAATAAAATAACCTCAGATCTGAGGATTTCTAAAAATTCTAGATACAAAAAGAGGTTGTGAGTCCAGGACTCATCCAAACCAGCAGACCTCTCATTTTACAAAGGACAAAGTAAGATCCAGAAGATATATCACTGCTCATTATGGTATAGCAAATTACCATCGAGTCTCCATGTCTCCGATTGCATTTTTTTCTGCTATATCACAAAATAATTATTTCATTACTTTTTTGTAACTATTATTATTGGAGGCAGCTATGCAAAACATTATAAATATTAGGGTCTTCGGCATGGGTTTTAATATATTCATCCTTTCCCCCTCAAGACAATGCCCACCAGTCTCTAGGGAATCTAGGGACAAATGTCATTCTGCTAGAGGTGTTATGTCCTATTTGCTTTTCTGTGTTCATTATGTACTGAAAAAGAAGGCTCATTTAAGCATTTCAAAAGCTGGATTTCAGATACAGGGAGGGTTATTATGAGTCTGCTTAGAAAGATGACCCATTCACATAGCTAGTGGTGCCATGTTGGAGACAGAGTATTATGAACATAATAAAGACCCCACTTTATCTTGCCATGCCATTCCACGGATATTTTCAAGAGTATTTCTAAAAGACTTAATGGATCCAATTCACTTCACAAATCAAACAAAAAATGCTTGAGAGAATCACAAAGAAATTGCAATTTCTTTAGCTGTCACAATTCAAATGCACCCTCTCGTGCCCCAAATCATAAAATGTAATCCCTCAAATTCCCAGCACATGCTACTAGATCCTCAGGGTGGGGTCATTATGATGGAACTGGTGGCTTCAGAAGGAACCTGAGCTGACACAGGCGTGCCCTGTCCTGTCATGTGATGGTAATTGCCATGTTAAGACGAAGCAAGGCCTCACCAGATACCAGTGCCATGACCTTGGACTCTGAGCTGATTAAACTGGTATCTCCTAATTTGCCATTCTTGGGTATTCAGTTATGACAATGGAAAGCAACTGAGATGATAATTGTTTGAACTGACTTCTAGCTTTGTATATGTAAAGCCATGTTCTAATGAATAACCAA